AGTAATGAAATCTGAACCAAAACTTTTCTCAGTTCTTGACCTTTTACTTCTTCTAGGTTCACAAAAGTCATCTAGAGAACTAGTAAAAGGAAGACATGCAGGTTCACCAAATTGATGGCTATTATCAGTTAGGTTGTGAGCATTTTTCAATGGAAATATGTTTTCGAAGAATACAACATCTCATGACTCACATATGGAATGATCCTTTAAACAAATAAATCTATAGGCGGCGCTGTTTTCAGCATAGCCCACAAGAATGGCATCTAAAGTTTTAGACCCTATGTTGGGTCTTTTGAATGATGGAAGTCCCACTTTGAGGTAATTTAAGTTGGGGGCATGCCCTTTCCACAGCTCATACGGGGTTTTCTCAAACCCTTTATGGGGAACCCTGTTCAAGACGTGATTAGCTGTTAACACGGCTTCTCCCCACAGGGAATCTGGAGCACCTGCACTAATTAGCATTGCATTGAGCATTTCTTTCAGAGTTCTATTTTTTCTTTCTGCTATTCCATTTTGTTGTGGAGTGTACGGAGCAGTTACTTCATGAATAATTCCAGACTTTTCACACAAGTTTTTCAAAAATTTTGATTCATATTCACCTACCCTATCAGAACGAAGCCTTTTGATCTTCTTATCTAGTTGATTTTCTACTTCTGATTTAAAAATCAAGAATTTTTGTTCTGCTTTGTCTTTCGTTCTTAACAAAAACACTTTTGTAAAGCGGGAAAAATCATCAATGAAAGTTATATAATACCGCATTCCACCTCTACTTTCAGTACTCTTAAAGTCAGCCAGATCAGAATGTATCAATTCTAAAACTGAAGTAGAACGAGAGTTTACAGCAGAAAATGATTTTCTAGCAAACTTAGCTTCAACACATACTTCACATTGGGAATATGAATCAGTAGACAGATTTGGCAATAAATCCATACTTTTTAGTCTATTTAAGCAGTTTAAGCCAATATGACATAGTCTACCATGCCAAATATTTAATGAGACAGAAAAGTAAGCTAAAGAAGCATTATTATTATTTGGGTCGTGCCAATTAACAACACCATGATTCGGTGCAGACCTAACTACGTTTACATCCAGCACAAAAGGCCATTACGTAAATATCCTTTCCCGAGGTATTTTCCCCCTCGAGTCATGACTAGGCGGTTAGACTCAAAAACTAACTTAATCCCAGCCTTATTCAACAAGGCTCCAAAGATTAAGTTTCTACGGAGGGTAGGAAGTATAACACATTTTGTAAGAGCAGTTTCTTACCAGAAAATAACATAATTTCTACTGTTCCACTACCCCTTACCTCAGAAACGCTGGAGTTCCCCATGAAAACTTGTTCCCCTTCAGTTGACACGAACTCTTTGAACATGTCTTTGTTGGTGCAGAAGTGATGGGAGGCTCCAGTGTCTACCACCCATTCATCTTGATTTTGTACTAAGTTGACCACGCAATCACTTCGGTGTCTTCTGCATTCTCAAGTAAGTTGGCTTGATTCCTTGAATCATCATGGTTTGCTTTTTGGGAATTCTGATTGTGAATCCCTTTGCGGTGATAGCATTGTGCTGCACGATGCCCCTATTCCCGCAAACGAAGCATCCACCGCTTTTCCCTTCTTCTTTTTTTTTTTTTTTTTTCTGAATTTTGTCATTTTTGAAGCGGTTGTCATTGTTGTTGGGCTTGTTGTTTTTTTTTTTTTTTTTTTTTTTTGACCTCCAGGTTTTGCCTTGTTCTGATTAAAACTCAATTCAACAATGTTAGCCTTAAAATTTCCAGAAAAGTTAACCGACCTGTTTTCGCGAATTGTCGCTTCAATGTTGATGGATTTCACCAACTCCTCCAATGTAGTTGCCTTTGAATTATGCTTCATTTTGTTTTGGAAACTTTCCCAAGATTCAGGCAATTTCTCTATTAGTTACGGAGTATTATCCAACCTAATATATAAATATATCCATTATATATACAGAGTATATATTTAATATTTTCTTAACTCCAACTTAACTGACAGTCCGACACCTTTGCGCCGCTGAAGCCCTAGATCATCTATGAAGATGAAGCCCTCGATCGCGTTCTCCTCCCTACCTCTTCTCCTCAATCGACTACGCAGTTGTGAACCTTCTCCTCGATTAACACGTAGCTGTGATATAAACCTTTTCCCCGCTCATCTCAGCCGTCTCAAACACTCGTTGGCATATTGTTCTGCCGAGAAAGTTTGTATGAGGATGAGGAATGCAATGAAAGAAAACTCGCTGCATTGATCGTTTCTAAGGTAATCGCTATTATGCCTTCGTTAGTTTCTCATCTATTGTTAGAGTTCAGGGACTTAGTGTTCTTTATTTCTAATTTATTTTGTTTGTTTAGATTACAGTGCTTATATACATTTAACTTTGGATAATCAAATTGGAGTTCTATGTTGTGTTTTATTATTTGAAAATTCATTTAAGTAATTTTTTGAAGATTTGTTGGGAGGATGCTGATGTCAATTTACTCATCATAAGTAAATTTTAAAAGAAATGGTTGCTGTGTGAGATCTGTGTTCTATATTTGTAATGACATGTTAAGTAAAGTCTAACATATATTATTTTAAGTAATCATATATTCTGCTACTAGCTTTGAGAACTATCCACTGAATATGGAGTAACCTGTGTCATCATATACTGTGTTATAATGCTCTGGTTCCTGATGGTAATGTGCTATTGTGCTGGTTTTTGTAACATAAAATCCATGCCTCTGTCTATGCACACCAGAAAAAAATGGTCATGAGTCAGAATAGCTGCCAATTCTCCTCACAGTTGTGCTAGTTCTATTATTTGTCATTCTATGCTATGAGATAGTATCTACCAAAACTTGTGATTATTGGAAGCATAGAATGTTAAATTGGTCACATTTCTTATATACTAGTATACTATGTTTAAATTTCTAATTCTTTATCTTTCAAATTTTAGGTGAAAGGTTTTCTAAAATTGTTGGCAGCCCTTATTATATGGCTCCCGAGGTGCTAAAGCGAAACTATGGAAGTGATGTTTCTTGTAGTTAATATAATTCTTTTGATACAGAATCTGAACAAGGTGTTGCCCACGCAATTTTACGTGGTGCAATAGAACGTGAACCCTAGCCAAGTATTTCAGAGAGTCTAAAGTCTTGTGAGGCAAATGTTGGAGCCAGATCCCAAGCTTTGACTAACTCCAAAACAAGTAATTGGTATGCTACTTTTGTGTGTTGATCAGTTTCTTTTATGGTAACACATTGTATTTTCACTTTAATTTTTGGAAGTCTGTTGTTTCATTTATTGATAATGTGACGAATGCTGCTATAATTTAGCAGTGGTTATGGTTCCTTTTTTTTTTTTTTTTTGTTCGTTCTTGGAGGGATGGGGTTGGGAGATAAGTGAAGCGGAAAAAATAGTGGGAACATATTTGTCAGGGGAAAATGTCATTCATTTTTTCCCCTTCCATAAGACTGTTGTAAAGAAGAAATAAGGGCTTGCGAGTTATTTTCTTGCTGTAACAATTTGTGCTAATTGTTGTCGCTTACCTTGAGGTTTATAGTGGTTGCTTTTCATAAATTCTGTGCTCTGCACAGTGAACAAGTTCCATCTCTGTGCAGAACATCCTTGGCTCCAGAATGCTAAGAAGGCTCCAAATGTTCCTCTGGGAGATGTCGTGAAGTCAAGGCTGAAGCAGTTTTCCTTGATGAATAGGTTCAAGAGAAAGGCTTTGAGGGTCAGTTACTTAGTTTCTATGTTCTAAAAGGATTTTTACTTCTATTATACGAGTGGGCTTTCAGAAATATTGGAAACTTCCCCTTGGCCTGTAGGTTATTGCTGATTTCTTGTCCAGTAAAGAAGTTGAAGACCTCAAAGAAATATTTGGGAAGATAGATGCTAATAATGATGGTATCGTTTCAATTGAAGAATTGAAAGTTGGACTTCAAAAGCTCAATTCTCAGCTGGCAGAATCTGAAATACAGATGCTCATTGAAGCCGTGAGTCTATCTGGATACTTGCACTATAATACCTTATTACTTTACCATGCTTGTTCCCTGAGCTAAATTTATATATGCTGGATAATTTTCATTTTGCTTCTTTTGTTTCCTCATGTGCATGGTTTACTATAGAGTAAGAGCTCATATGGCCAGCTTTTTTAAAAAAAGACTCAACTTGGAGCTTGTTGAGGTGAAGGGTTTTTCCTGTTACCTACGCCCTACCCTTACCCCGAAAACCCTTTTAGTTGGCCAAACAATGCAAAGTCCCCTGTGCAGAACTTATTGCACTCAAAGTGGTTGAGTTATGGTGCAATTTGGTAATCATTCCCAGTAAAGGAGGAAACTATTTATTTTTGAATTAGTGGGCAAATTGTAGCGTGCTAAATCATATTGCAACTCTACTGTTTCCTGCATTTTAGATTTACTTTAAAGTTATTTCTTCGCATCTTGAGCATTATAGCATATGCACCTTTTATTTTTGTTTGTTTATTTATTTTTTGTAAAATAGCTACGGGTCAAAGTGCTACCTGTAAATACCAGTTGCCACAAGCATCCCACAGAAAAAATGAAAATAATAAATGAAAGTAATAATATATGATTATTTTGTTTTACAGATTGATACCAACAACAAAGGAACTCTAGATTATGGAGAATTTATTGCTGTTTCACTCCATTTACAAAGAATGGCTAATGACAAACATTTGCGCAAGGCTTTTTCCTATTGGTAATTCCTATTGCTAGTAGCTTCCTCTTTTTCAGGCTGCATTTTCAACAATTATTTGTTTTTTCTTGTATGGAGGAGGGAGTATGAAAGATAATATGCGGAAATTGTTTCTTTCTTGATTTGATTTATGTGCGGAGGTCCTACTTCCTTCCTTATTTGCCTTTTTGCAGAACATTCTTCTGACCATGCTGAATGTTTGAAGCTCTGCAAAAGGGTTGAGTACACAATTTGTGCCTGGTATCTCTTGTAGTTTGAGGATCTCATGGTAATACTAGTATCTGTTTTCTTGTAACTTGCTCCACCCAAAAAACACAATTCCATTTCATTTTGCTTCTACATTTCCTTGTTGGATTGCAGCAACTCTACTCCTTATTTGATCCTGTATATATCGCTCAAAAACTGGAATAGCAGAACTAGAGTTCAGATGAAATTGACATTCTTGAACAAAATTTCTTGACTTACTTATTTCAAGTAGGATAACACCCTCTGCCTAGAATATTGTGCGGTCCTTGGTTTGTAAAACTCTGTGTAAGAGATTAAAAAAAATTACTTACCTAAGTTAAAATTTTAGTATGATTAGGGACACTAAGCTTCTTTAATGGCCCTGGAAATAAAACTCATGGCACTCCTGCTACTTTGTTACAATATTATTCCTTTTATCAAAGAAACTCTTCATTCCATTCTTGATGTCAAGATTCATGTTTGACTGTAATTCTCTGCATGTTTTCTCATGTATTCCCGTATGTATTTTTGTCTGAATTAATTATTCTATTAGAGGGAATAAAACCATTCTATGCCAAATGACAGTTTATCATTTTTCCCAATAACAAATTTATGATATCTCTTCCTACTCTGATAGTGTCATATTATTAAATTTGTATCATCCTCTAGTAGCTTTGATGCCTTATTTTCCTCTATTTGGTTGGGTGCACAGCAATGAAGAAATCTTTGAAGTTCTATGACCTTCTCATTCTTTTCCACTCTTCATGATTCTCTTTTCTTTTACTAATGTGCAGATAATGGATAAAAGCAATTTTGAAATAGCAACTGATGAGGAGATTGAGGTTGCACAGTCCGGGCGGTGTATTCTAAATCTTCCCATCACAGTTGATGAATCTAAGGTTTGTAATTGCATATATTTGTTCTAAGAACAATTTTCGCAGTTTTACACTTTTACTGTATTTAGTATGTGCTGACTCACCAATTTGAGTTACAATTTTTGGTGAGTGCAGCTTAACAAAACAATTTTGAAGAAGTACTTTGCGGAGCATCCAACGGAAAATCTACCTGAATTTGCTGATAAGGCATTTGTCTAGTTATAGCTGGAAAGTATAAGGTTCTATAAGAAGCTTTAGCCTATGCTATAAAGTTCTAAGAAACATTAATGCTTTATAGTCTGAATAAATTTTGTTTGCTACATTGATGTGAATATAAGCATAATATTTGATGTTCAATGGCAGACATTTACTGTTTACCTAAATTTGAGAAGCTCTTTTGGTTGAATGCTATTAGATTGGTAGTGGAAAGACCTACATGATGTTGGGACCTCCAAGTGCTATGGTTGATGTTCTAATTCTCTTTCAGCCAATTGTCTACAGGGTGTTGTTCCTCACATTTTCCAAGAGCTTTGAAAGTACTTGGTAAAGAAAATTTTCATTTGTATTTGTTGCAGGAGCTGCAATTGCTGGTTCTACAATTGATAAGGTGGATTGAAACATTATAGCGATTCCACTCCATCAGTGCCGGAAGAAGAATCCATTAAGATCAGCGATAAGAAACAGCAAGAAAAGAAGCTCATCATCATCACGAGAGCAAGAAGAAGAAGATGGATAAAAATGGCGAAAAAGATGGTGCAGTTTCTTCTGTGACATGGAAGGTTATAGAGAAGAAGAGAGGAGAACCACAGGCAGAGTTCAATTTGGATTATTTACCTGCAAGAACACATGAAATGTGTATATGCTTTTCATTAAATATATTACCAGCTTGCAAAAAGGAATATATATATATATATATATATATATATATATATATATATATATATATATATATATATATATTTCACTACAGAGGGGTTCCTCTCTGTGGTGAAATGATTTTTTTTATTGACTACGTCAAGTTTTTCGACCACCAAAGTGGTCGGAAAATTCGGACCTGCCCGACTATTCTACTTGCCATTTTTTTCGACGGCCGTAGAAAAGTGGTCGCTATTTTTCACCACTTCTTCAGTGGTCGAAAATAGCGAAGGGGATTTTTCTGGACACCTAAATTGGTCGGAAAAGTGATCGGAATTGGTGTTTCCGACCGAATTAAGGCCATTTCCGACCACTTTTAAGTGGTCGGAAATCTGCTGATTTCCAGCAGTGGTTGTGTTTTGTGACTAAACAATGTTTGTATTCTGGAAAGTGAGCGAGTGATAAGGAAACCTCTAAACTGTGTCGTGTTCGTAGGAACACTGCCTTAAAAGCAATTCCTGACTTCCCACGGTTGCTTTCGACCGGTAACACAGGCACGCTAGCTTGCGCTTGGGCAAAGCCAATAACAAAGCTCAGAATTATAGCAGAAGAAGAAGAAATTTGTGTGTATACGTTTGTGTGTATATCTCTGTGAGTTCTGGAGCTTGGTTGCATGGCTATTTATAGTGCATGGTTTAACCAACTCTTTCATACACACCACATGTACATGTGCTATAATTGTGGAAGACTCTGTTGATTGATCCACGTCTCAGGACTTGCGGACAAGAAGAAAAACTCTTACGGACATGCCCAAATATTTAGGAGGCAATATTAATAATTAATAATATAACAAATTATATTGAATAACCTTTTTTGTGAATGGACTTCCAACAGTTCGACTCCGGGAGTATAAATAACTTTATTGACGTTATCACCGCCAAGGCTTTAGGACTAACGATCCGGGAATGCCCTTCTTTGCAGGTTGCAGTTGCTAGTGGGCAAAGGATCTCGGGATCCGGCGTGCGCGAAGACGTGTTGCTCTAGAAAGATGGCTAGCGGTTATCAGTTAATATATATGTAATCCCGCTCGTTAGTTTCGAATTATTTTTGGGTGTTAGGTGGCTTCGTACTCCGGGTGCTATTCTCTGGGATTTTAATGCACTAACTATGAGCTTCTCCTACAATAACCGCAAGATCACTTGGCAGGGTGCACATATTAATCCTTTTATTATATTGCATGCGATGTAGCCCCAGGTAAGTGTTCATTCTGTCCTTGATCACGTTTTGGCTGACTTCTCTACCCTATTCCAGGAACCGACATCTTTACCGCCACAACGGAGCTGTGACCATCGTATAATAATGGTACACGGTGCTGATCCAGTCGCAGTTCAACCCTACCGTTATCCTCAGGCCCAGAAGGACAAAATTGAGCGCCAATGTACCTCAATGTTAGAACTCTGCATTATAAGGCCTACCCGTTCCCCTTACTCTTCCCCGATTTTGCTAATGCTTAATCATGATCAATCATGGAGCTTTTGCATTGACTACCGCGAACTGAACGCGAAAATCGTTAAGGACAAGTTTCCCATTTTCGTCACCGAGGAGCTACTGGATAAATTACATGGATCACGGTATTTCACTAAATTGGACTTATGCTCAAGATACCATCTAATTCGGATGCATCCTGACGATGTAGAAAAAACTGCCTTCTGAACCCATCATGGCCATTTTGAGTTCCTCGTAATGTCGTTTGGGCTCTGCAACACTCCGTCTACTTTCCAGGCTCTTATGAATAAGAATTTTGGTTCCCTATTACAAAAATTTGTTTTAGTTTTTTTTTATTTTTTATTTTTCATTTTTACGACATACTAATTTATAGCAGGTCATGGGTCGAGCATACTCAACACGTATGAACCGTTTTAAGCCTCCTCCGCCGACATCAACTGTTACTTAAACGTTCCAAGTGCTCTTTTGGTACCGAACATGTTTGTTATCTAGGTCATGTCATGAATGCCTCGGGAGTCTCGATGGACACTAGCAAAGTCCAAGCTATTCTTGACTGGCCACGTCCTCAGTCCGTAAAATCTTTGCGCGGGTTCCTAGGACTGGCGGGATTCTATTGAAAATTTATAAAGGATTTTGGTGTGATAGCGGCCCCTTTGACTTTGCTGCTACGGAAAAACAATTTTTTGTGGACCAAGGACACTACAGTGGCATTCCGCACTCTTAAGATTGCTCTTACTACAACGCTAGTTTTAAGGCTTCCTGATTTCAATTTGCTGTTTGTGGTTGAATGCGATGCCTCCGGGGTCGGCATTGGCGCGGTTCTACATCAAGATAACCATCCCGTGGCGTTCTTCAGTCGTAGGCTAGCGGTCAGCCATCACAAATTGGCCTCCTACGAGCAAGAGTTAATTGGATTGTCCTAGGCCATTCGCATTGGCGGCACTACTTGTGCGGTCGCAAGTTTATCGTAAGCAAAAATCACTATAGTCTGAAATTTTTGTTGCAACAGCGCCTCACAACATCACCCCAACACCATTGGATTAGCAAACTTCTTAGCTACGACTTTGAAGTTGAACTCCGTGATGGCCGAGACTTAATACGGTAACTGATGCGCTGTCTCGCATGGATGATGATGATGCCTCTCTCCTTGCGTTTTCTGGACCTGTTTCGACTTTGTTAGACTCCATCCGAGATGAGCTCGATGAGTTAGAGGATGCGAAGGCAATGGTGCATCGTATCCACGACAGTTCGAAATGGCCACATTGGGCTATAGTCGATGGGATCATTCGCTACAAAGGTAAAATCTTTTTGTTTAAGACATCAAAGCTTATACCGCTTGTTATTACAGGGATCCATGATGTGACGCACGAATGTGCCTAGAAAACCTTGTTTGAGATCACTCGGGAATTTTTCTGGCCTAGGATGAGGCAAGCTATTCGTGAGTTCGTGCGTAACTGTCCCACCTGTTTGCAAGTGGGAGAATCTTCATCCTGTGGGTCTCCTTCAGCCGCTCCCCATTCCCTCACTTGTTTGGAGTGACATCTCGATGGACTTCATTGAAGGCCTACCTAAGGTCCAAGGGAAGTCGGTCCTTTTTTCGGTGGTCAATCGTTTGTCTAAGTATGTCCATTTTATTCCTTTCAGCCACCCATATTCTGCATCCACGGTTGCAGCCACTTTCTTTGCGAACAGCGAAACGACACTATCCCTATCCTCGTCCTATCACCAACAAACGGTTGACTACAATCTATAATCGCAAGCACAAGGATGTTGAATATGAGGTTAGCGACTGGGTTTTGCTCCGCCTCCAACCGTACAGGCAATTCTCTGTCAACAAGCTTGGGACCTTTATGTGTGCTAAGGCGGCTGTTATGGAGGGGTTGTATGTGCCAAAGGAAGCTGAAGTAGTGGGGTGTGAGAAGCTCTCAACTAGCTAAAGGAGATGGAAATGGATCACATTGAAGTCGAGATGGATGCACAGCTTGTTTATCATGCCATCTTGGCTAACTCTACTATATCTACTTTTTGTGTCATTATTGATGATGCTAAAGAAGTTGCGGCTCAATTTATTGATGTAAGTTTTCATTTTGTTAAGCAATTTGCAAATCGAACTATTCATAGTATCGCTAGAGAGGCCATTTCTATGTCAGGTTGTGAGGAATGGCATTACCATCCACTGTACTTTCTTAAGCTTTATTGAAAAGTACTCTATATAAACCCTGAGAACTTTTTATTGAAAATTTTGCTCAGGAAAAATAAACTACAGACTACACGTAGCTACATACAAGACACAAATAATTTAGCATATACAGACTCAACAATCAACACACAAAACACAAGTAAAATCTACACGGCCTATGGACAGGAAAACTCTGCACTCAAAACCTAGAATGCAAGAAATCATAATCAAGACTTTGATTTTGTCACAGGGCAATTCTGATTGTTATTCTTTTTCATCCAAACTGTTGAGCGTGTTTTCTTGAAATGGTCTGTGAATAGTTGATACCTTCAATGAAACGGAATAATATATAGTCAGACAAACATACATCAATGCAACCCCACAATCTTCAAATACAAATGTACATTCTCACATGGCATCAGTCAGTATTACAAAGTATACTGTGCACCATGTCCAGTGCATAAGACATAAAGTTATAATTAAAAGAATGCGGTTGGGGTGGGGAGATGAAAATAATCGTTACGGTTAGTGACAAATGAAACATGCACAAACTAAATCCTGGCCCAAGTAGATTTTAAATTCTAAGAGTTGACATTCTTGATGTTTGACTGAGGATACTAATGAGTAATGATCAATTGGGGTGGGGGTGGAGCCGTGGAGGGACACAAGCAAAGCATCTCTCAATAGGCAACAACAAAAGATCAAAGTGGGGGTAACCCCAACCAAGCTGGCTAAGGATACAAACTTTTAACCACAAGGTCACAAGTTCGAATCCACAACCTAGGCTAATTTACCTCCTTGTGGTCCTTTGTCGGCTAGGGTCACAAGGCAGGGTTTACTCAGTGCACCACCTCAGGTAGTGGTTGCGGGTTTCCCTCGTCACCCCAAAACACAAAACATCAAAGTACAAAAATATTGAGAAATTGAAATGGAGGAATAACCTTTCATACTCCAGTTTCTGAGTAACTATCCCATTTAGTAGAAGCTCTGAACTATAAATTGTTTTTCCTGCATTTACAAAATGATAGCTCATTATAATTCAAATATTAACTGTAAAGGGAAAGAAGATTAAGCATAAATACATGAATAAGATACCCAACCTTTCTCAAGAAAAGGCACACAGAGATCATAGTCATCTTCACAAGACAAAACTAAAATATCATCTGCCAAAGTCACATCCTTCATAGCAGATCTTCCGCATCTCTCAATTGGCTGAGAAGCATTTTGACACAGAGCATTAGATAAAGTGTGTATATATAAATATCTGTAATGCAATAAGCCCCATGACAATATGTTTTATATAGATTATGATGGATATTCAACCCATGCTAAGTAGTTAATAAATTTTCAAATTGGAATTAAAATATGTTTTATAATCACGAATTTAATTTTGGTAAAAATCAGAGAGGGGCTACATTATATATACACCAGAAATTATATAGCTCTACATTTGTTTATAGATTTGTTATACATTCGTAATAATACACAGTATATGTTCATAGTAGAATATATATTTAATAGACTTAATATTGTTTTGTTTAAAATTTAAATGGAATTAAATCATAATTTGAATGTCAATATATTGGTGGTATATTCTTTTTTATTTTGAAAAACACATCAAACATAGAATATCCCTCCTTTTTATAAAAGAATAATGAAAATTTAAATATTTACATATTATATCCATTTCTTTGAGATGTACGGAGTAAAAAATAATTTTTTGTATGAAAATATATTCAACCAAAAAGCTTTGAACAATTTAGAGAGGGTTAAAAATATTTTGTCCTAAGTTATACTATTAATACATGGCTAAACAACCAATTTGATACTTAGGAAGATATGTTATTTAGTGGTGAAAATAACATAAATAAATTGCAAGGGAGTTATCCTCAGCATTATTTATCCATATATAAATATTAATTCTCAAATATTTGGTAGGTAAACATATAGCGTGTGCCTTAATTAATTCAAGACTATAAGGCTAAGAGTGTTTTTACATTATTATCCAAAATTGGTTGACTCGGGGATTGGACTACATTAGTATATGTATATATATTAAAGCAACTAATAGAATCGTCAAAAAGTAAATAGGGAAGCTATCAACAGAACAATTCATGAGAAAAGGGGACTGTCTTCACAACTATAAGAATTTCTGTCAAGACACTCTAGATATTGTTGTGATCAGAAATCCTAAATCAAATAAAATGACAACAAGAAGACTTCATCTGATCAATTCACTGAACAAGCTTCACAGTTCAAATAATCCATCCGTTTTTAATTTACCAGCTGCGATATCAATGATAGTAACACTGTGAACTTCTCAGCTCAGATGTCCAACACAAAGCCCAAGCATGGTATTTTTGTTATCCTACACTAATATCTTGCTCTTCAGCGAATCACATAGTACTTAATAGATTAATTCATCTTCAACTGATGCATTCATAGAATTTCCATTTGTCCTATATTATTTATTAGAAAAATAGTCTAAACTGTAAATATTGAACTGATTTTCTTTATTTTGTCTAATAAAAGTCTTGTATATCGCCTAAAGTCAGAAAGTAGATATACACTGATATCCTTTCGTTCGATTGCACAGTAGTTGAGTACTCGAAGCAAAAAGGGAGACAAAGCAAGGTATCCTAATATCCAAAAACAGTTCCAAGATTAAAGATTATACAACTAAGTCAATGAAGCACATTTCAATGACCTTCTATTCAATTCTGCATTTGATACTGTAAGTGATTGGAAGGAAGAACTACATACCAAACCATGAACTGCCTTCACCAAACCTGCTAATATTTCTGTACCAGGCTTTGTATTTGGGGTGATAAAGACTCTATGTGCCTGCAAATAAATAATGAAAATGATCTTATAGTTCCTCCACTTAATCACAAAGCAAATATCCATCATCATTACCTGTAAAAGTGGATGTTGGCTTGCTCGTGCTAATGAAATTGGCATGCTAAAGCCAAACTCTTTTTCCTTTTTGGCATCTCTCAATATGTAATTCTTCTCATCTATAAGACAGCAAGCTTGTGCACAACTCTCAAGCCATAAGTGTGTCACCACTGGTTTCCCAAAAGCAATAGCTTCCAGAATATTTCTTGTGCGTACAAATTCATCTGTCACAAAATGAGTGGCATCTGACATAGAGGATCCAAGAGAAGCCCCCAAGCGAGTCAAAATCTTCAAGAAAAAAAACATTACATGGGTAAAACCAGTACAGCAAAATCGTTCAGCAGAGATAAAAACTAAAATAAAATCACTTAAATGTTACCTTCTTTTGCTGTTTGGTTATGTCTGGATCTAGGTGGCGGCTGAACAAGACTCGAACATTTGTCATTTCTCTCCGCCTCCTTGAATCTTTCACACTGGATGCTGTTGGCAGACCGACAGTATGTAATGAATTAATTTCTCTAATAAGTGATGATCCTGACATACTTCTCCTGCATGACCGTTTACGATACTCATCACCCATACATATAGGCGATGCCTCATTCCTAGGTGTCATACAATTGATAGGAGTAGTGCTTGGAGAAGCTGATGTTTTAGATTGATCCTTTGGTGATGCTTCTACTCCATTTTCTTTAATTGCATCAACAGATTTTCTTCCTTGTATGATGCTTTTTCTAGTGCATTTCTTTGAAGCCTTGGCATTGACTATATTATTTGGAATTGAAGCACCACCTATATCATCTGCAGCATCATTAATGTTAGGATCCTCTGCATGTCCATTCTCTGAACATTTGTGCATTAAATTTTCTTCAGTCAGATGCCTTCTTTTTCTTAAACTCAAATCCACAGGAGCATTCCCATTAGTAATTGTTCTGCTTGACCTTGTATTAGACTGATTATAGTTTTCTCGTGCAATTGACGCCCGTGTCCGACGACTTCTTATTCCTTTAGGATGGGCCATTTGATCACTCTTAAACATAGCTGAATCCATATTTCCAAGTTTAGTAACAAATTCATCTTTGGTGCTAGCCTTACAAGCATCATCACCTGGCAGACTTTTATCAGAAGTAAAGGCACTGTGCAGATCATTAATCTCCTCTGGAGAGCTATCTGAAGTGTTTCCAGTAAATTTTTGGTTATTTGTTACGATGCGCTGCCTGGTTCGATTAGCAACAGGTGTCAGCGAGCCAAGCTGCTCATGAAAAGGTCTTTTCTTTAAAGACCTACAACCATTTGATGGAGCACCGAGACTTCTATCAAAATCATCCGTGTTGCTAACTCTGTTAGCACTTTCTTCCTTCGATTCTTCTGTTCTATTTTTCTTTTGAGCATGTTGTAATCTAACATTTGACCTAATCCTCTTTGTTTCTAGCAATTCTCCATCACATTGCTTCTTGGAATTTTCAGAACTTTTTACTGATGTAGCAACCGTTCGCTCTGTTTTCAGGGACTGTCTTGTGGCAGGTCGAGTAGAACGGATTCTTTTCTTTGAGGAGCTTTGCCTAAGCTGTCTCTCATTATTAGCTCCACTTTTTGAAGAACCATTCTGTAAGTCTGCAGTGATGGATTGATGTTCATTCAATGAACCGCCAAAGCATAATGATTGCATAGCTTCAGCTGCCATTTGAGTATCTAAACCAACATCTGGTATGTCAGGGACATCATTGGCAGTTTTATTATCAACCACTCCATTTTCATACATATCAATCAGCTGCTTGTTAAGCTCCTTCATAAAAATATTCCTGGATTTTGGATTTTCTGACTCATTGTTCAATCTCATGATATTTGACTTCTCCCTAGAATTAGAGCGAGAAAAATCTTTCTTCTTCTTGCAAGAGTCTGGAAGCTCAACTTTGCCTACACAGTCAGTGTCAAGGCGTCTAGGCTTCCGTGGGACAGTAGAAGATTTTTTGTCAAATAAAAGACCCTTGTTCTTTTGGAAAAACTCCCCACCACCTTCATCCTCACGATTGTCATCCCAATCAAAAATGCCACCAACTTCATGTGTGCTTCTAGTGGCTCTCTGGGCCAAACTCTTTGTCCCTTTTGCACTGGGAACAGACACTGATTTTTCAACTGACTTTCCCAAGTCAATGTCTTGATCGTACTCAACTGCATTAAACTTGAGAAACCTGTCAACAATCTCAAGTGCATTAGCCTGTGATTCATCTCCAGGTTCTTGAGAACCAAGATAACTTAACCCAGCCAATGCATTTTGAGAATCAAACATCTGAGGCAAGTCTGCTCCATTTTCAGCATGATTATTCCCATCTTCTGGCTTTTCAATTTCATCTGGTGTATCCTCTGTGAAAAGTCGCCTCACAGCTGAGCTACCAAGCTTGCACCTATTTTCACTCCCTACATCTTTACTCTGTTTGGCATTATCTTCCCAACCATGTGCCTTGCTAACTTCTCTCTCCACATTTGAGAAATCTCCTGAGACAAATGGCACATCTTGCTTGGTAGTTAGCAGCTCTAACGAACCGTTACTCTTATTGGAATCACCAGTGGTTCTAATTTGAGCCATGCTCTGAGCAGCCAGACCAGAGGCCCGCATAGATGCAATACGAATAGAAGTAAAGCCTCCATGCACAGGTCCTGAAACATGTATGCATCATGCATGATAAACCTGATGATGAAATGGATTCTAATTGGCACACAAGTGCTATTTAGTGAAAACATTTGAAGGATTAAATATTCCACAGCACCATGAATAAAGGTAGATTAGATTATCTTAGATAATACTGATAGTAGAGTACTTGATTACAGACCAACTTTCCACTATTTTAATAGAATGCCTCTTATTGGACCAGTTGTAGAATATTAGTTGCATACTAATCAAACATAAGCTAGAAATATCTTCAATGTTAAAATCATAAAAATATCATGGTAAATTTAGCAAAGTAGACACACAAATGTAGTCCAAATAGAAATGCCTACTGACCATAAAGTTATGAAGCATAATGACCGGAGAAAAAATGCTGTAGCCAACCTAAGTTCAGTAGCACTAGACTATATATGATTCATATGCTTGTGTATCCAAGATACATCAAAGTGTATGTTTTAAATGAATTGTGATGCCAACTTTACCAAGAAGCACACAGAAGCAGAATACCACTTAGAATTTGAATTTGAAATGGAAAAATTAATGTTATAAATACCTAATATAAGAAATATGCTTTTATGATATAGGTTTACCTGAATGATGCTTCTCTTTGTTCAGAGCATCTGATCGTACCTTGTAACCAGAGTCAGCTTCTTCAACAAGACTAGTGTTTTGCAAGTTCAAGCCGCTCACAGACATTGCGTTGTCTTTTAAGTCATCATCAGATATCTCTTGAGTTTCATATAAAATCTCAGTTCTATCACTTCCTTCACAATCACTATCAGTTGCGACTTCAGAGTTGCACTCATCTAACAACTGAGTATGGATATACTCCACACCATCATGGTCATAAACAACTTGTGTGTCACCACCAATCTCAACTACTTGTGTTTCACCACTAATCTCAACTACCTGTGTGTCTAGTACTTGGGTCTCACCATAAAGATTTATTGGTTGAGTCTCAAAACCATCTGTACACTGAAGGAGATTATCAACAGGCAAAGTGTTTTGCATCTTTAGCCAATTATGAGCCTCCTCACCTTTGGCATCACCACCTAATCAAACAAGGGTAATTTACATGAGAATTTCATATTTTACAAATGGAAAGTTTATTATGTCCTTTAACTTTGCATTCTGAAACACTAAGCTCATAAATATTTAGCAATCTATATATAGCCGCTTGATGTCTAACAAGAACATTAAGTGCTGAAAAAAAAATGAAATGTGCTGCCTTGTAACAAAAAATTTAGAAAGGAGGTCTATTATTTAAGAAACTCAAACTTCATTCTCACTTTAGTTCCCGAAATAGAAGAATTTACCGATTCCCATTTGTAATTTCCACTCCATGAAAATAAAAAAATAAAAATTAAAAAAAAAAACATTCCTTTTCATTGGAAAAGACTGAACCTTTCGCAAGAACAGGCAAGTTGTTAGATAAAAATGACAACTTCACTATGTGAGGTATTTCCTCAAAACAGAAAATTTCACTGTTGCATTCCTCCCTCCCTTTCAAAAAAGTTCAACATTTTCTCACAAGTCACAACTCTCTATATTAAAAATAAAAAATAAAAAACCCAACTAAATCCCAATTGTCTTTCTTTCAAAAACAATTTTTAAAAATAAAAAATGGAAGATGGTGACATCACCTAAGTTTCCACTTTCAAAAAAAGAAAGAAAAAAAGACTCAATATTTTAGGGTTCTATTGACAGTAAAGATTACTCACTGATCTGGATTTACTTTGTAACGCACTCACTTTCATATCATCATTCTTATAATCAAATCCCTGACGCACATTGCCACTATCAGTGTAGTTAATTGAATTCAAAAAAACCATCTAAACTAGAGCCAAAAATCTTGCCTTTTGCGAAACATTGACTATCAACAGGCTGTGTTTCATCATCGGTCAAATTGGCATCAGAATAACTCGCATTCGGCTCGTTCCATGTATCGTTCTTTCCTCCGGGTTGAGCCATTTCAACATCTGCAATCCCCAAAAGAAGTATAACCATCAGAAATTCCCAACAACATAAACCCTAAAGATTCCAAATTGCACAATTTTTTAAAAACCATTAACAATATATATTTACTTTATATATCCAGAATCCCAAAATAAATAATTAAATCAAATCGAAATTCACTTACATAATCAGCAGAGCGAACAAGAGTAGTGTTAGAGGGTGGGGGCGTGGGGTCGGAGAGAGGGTGGGAGAAGCGAAGTAGGGTTTGAGGAAGTGGAGGGAAAATTGGAAGAATTGCAGAATTATAGTTGAGAAATTGGAGGGAAATATTTGATCCCTTTTTATGTAATCTTGTTGATTTCTCGTACTGACTTTTTCTACTGCTGTCCAGTTTATGACCCTGACTACTACCATGTTCTATCGTGGATCATGTCTGGTCCACTACGACAATATTTCATTAATTTTACTAAATGAAAATTGACGCGATGGATACTGTTCCGTTTATTCAATCCCGTTACAATCTTTTTAATTAAATATAAAAGGAAAGTCATATTTTACCACACGACATTCTTTCCAATTGCAATTCAAATGCAAAATCCCTGCAAAAATAAGTTCGCGACAGCAGCAACACAACAACGAAGAAGCATTTTTTACTCAACGACTTGCTTGTCAAAGACTTAGTGGACACATTTAGAGCATTCAAACAAACAAAAAAGGTGAATCTTCAAACATTTATTTGTTTGAAGTTCGAAATATTATGAAACTTGAAAACAACTGATAATTTCTGTACATATGACATGAAATTGAACATTAATGACATAATTTCTCCACATTGGCATGAAATTCAATATTAATAACCATTTCAATTAACTAGTAGGGTTACAGAATTTCCGCTTCTGCAATCTTAGACACTATGTAATCTAACATATAAAGCATATACCGCATATGATATTTTAAAATAAGTACATACAGAGCATGTGTATTATGTTATGAGTTATGTCTCTTCAACTATATAATTTTGTGCATTATGAATATGAATTCTGCACCTGAGTGAACAGAAATGATATTGTCGGACATAACTTTTTTTTTATACTTTTAGTCCGGTGGTGAAGCCTATGACAGGTCGGCTGTTGTTGTCATTAGTCTTGTCCACCGGTTGGGTGATTAGGCAGCTAGACGTTCATAATGCCTTCTGCTACGGAGTTCTCGGATTGGTTTATGTGTTTCTCGCTAACCTTTCAACTACTTTCAAGAATCGTGATCTCGATACTTTGACTTTTTTTCCTTGGAATTGAGACGATCCATGTGGGTGATGGTCTGCTGCTCTCTCTGCGTCACTATATGAGTGATATTTTGAAGCATGCAGGTATGGCTGACTGTAAATTGTCCCTATCTCATGTCTGATAGATAACTCCTTGGGGTAGGGATGTAAACGAGCCGAGCCGAGCCCGAGCCTGGGTAGGCTCATGCTCGTGCTCGTTAATGATAACACTTCTCGAGCTCGAGCTCGAGCTCGGCAATTGTCGAGCTGCTTGAGCTCGAGCTCGAGTTTAGGCTCGAATTTGAGGTCAATTTTGATCTCGAATTTGACATGTTTGATTTAAAATTTAAACTACTTTGTTTTATGACTTTTATCCATACATAATTATTAAAGTATTTTAATTTCACTCCCCTAATTATTATTTTTATATACTAAATATAATATAATTATATTACATATTATATATTATATAATATATTATAAGGCTCGCGAACGGCTCGTCGAGCCGCGAGCCTACAATACCTAAGCTCGGCTCGTGCTCGTTTAATCCACGAGCTGCTCGAGCTCGAGCCGAGCTCGATTTTGACCGAGTTCGAGTCGAGCGTTGACCGAACCGCTCACGAGCGACTCGCGAGCAGCTCGGCTCATTTACACCCCTACCTCGGGGTTGTATGCTGATCCGACTCAGTACCGTAGTTTGGATGGGGCCTTGCAGTATTTGACGGTCACGCACCCCGATCTCTCTTATGTAGTGAATCAGTTATGTCAATAGTCAACACATGCATGCTCCGACTGTGGCTCACTTGTCTCATATGAAGCGTGTCTTGAGGTATGTTACGAGTACTCTGCACTTTGGTCTCGGTTAAGGAAATCCCTGATGGTTAAGCTACATGTGTAACAACCCAAAATTTCATTTTATAAATCCAGTGTTAAGAAATCCCAAAGTAGCTTTTTCACTCCATTAAAAATTTTTGCGAGCAATCGGTGTTTGAATAAAATAATTTTTGTTCCATTTTAAAGTTAATTCAACACTAAAGAAATGGATTTCATTCGAAAATTCCAAAGTTTTCGGGTACTTTCTGTACCAAGATTTAAATCGAGAAATTTACCCGAGTGAGACCGGGAGAATTAAAAAGGGGATTTTGAACAAGTGTTCATCTATTTAGCTTTTGGGAAAATTCACTTCCACCCCAAAGTAATAAAGAAATATCATTTTTGGTCTATGGTTCATGATGTATGGTAAACCACAAGACATCCAAAAATCCCTTATAAAGTCATCTTTTAGCTTTGGAAAATTACCCCTTTGCCCTCAACCAATCATTGTGTATCATCCTAGGGTTTTGAACCCTATATAAACCCTTCATTCCATCACATTTTCCTGATCTCATTTTCATTGCCTCCTCCTCACTTTTGTCTGCCAACATCCAAGGAGAAAAGCTTCAACCTAGTAAGCTTGTTCATCCTCCTTTCTAGCATCATTTCTCTTTTAGTTTTCTTTAGTCTTTAAGAATATAAGCTAAGGATAGAAGGTGTGTTTGGAAGTGTAGGTGGTGAAGGAGGCTCAAGCTAGACCAAGAGGAAGAAGAGATCCAAGCAAGAAATCTAGTCTACAAGAGGTATAACCCAATGGATTCCTCTTTAGATTTGCCTCTGTGAAGCCTAGTTTTGAGTAGAAATTATGAGCTTTTGATGTGTTCATGCATAGAAATGCTTTGGTATGTGTTTATGAGTTGTTGAGATTGTTTTGGACATGTTTGGACAAGTTTTTGCAGGTGAAAAGATATATGGTGCACAACACAGTGTGCACCAGACCAGAGTGGCGGCCCTAGCCGCGGCCCATCAGAAGGGCCATCGGCTAGAGCCGTGCTACCACGGGACTAGGGCACGGCCCTAGAAGAGGGCCGTAGCCTAGTCCCGGCGTAGTAACGGGACTATAGGAGCGGACCATGAAGAGTCCCGCCCCAAGTCCCTGAGTATTGTTCTGATGAGATGTTGTGCAGTGGCCGGGCCCTTGTGGCTCAGCTACGTGTCGTTTCGGACCGAGTGTTACGGGCCCTTGTGGCTCGGCTCTTCGGGATCGTCTTGACGCACGTCTTGGCTTTGATTTGGTTGAATTTGGATTAAAATCGAGTATGCTATGAATGATTTTGTGAAGAAATGTTTCATAAAGTATATTTTGCTAAGTTATCTGTGTTTGAGAAATTGATGATTTTGTGATCAAATAAGGTTCTGATTGAGTAAAGAAGCATGATCTTTTGAGAATAGGATTTAGTATGAAAGGATGATTAAAATGTATTATTTGATCCATGAAAATAGAAGCATACTTGTTGAGTGAAATGTATAGAAATTGCTATTTTTACAAACCGAGCATGATGATATATCTTTGAATAATTTATGTTAATGTATACATGATTTAGAAGCATGTTATAGAGCATTTGACATTTTACATGAGTCATATTTCAAAAATGCATAAAGGGCCAACGTGAGTCCAAGAATACTTTCAAAAACCATACGCATGTGGTATATCATTCTTTGGTGCATTGAGAAGTAGTAGAATTGTTGCATGCATGAGATTGATGCATGAGAGATATATTTATGTAATATTTATGTCGGTGAGGTTTTGGAGGATACCGTTTGGACTATGTTACTCTCGGGAGATATTTATAGACATTGCGGTCCCAGAGTATGTAACGCGGCGTATTCCCACGTTACGAGGTTGGAAACTTCCCGCCGGGCTTGGAATCCTGGTTAGGGGGTGCGCATACTAATAGTTCGATACCTGATTCCAAAGATTTTGAACCACAAGATTGGTTCCGTAGACGGTATGAGATATTGGGTCGGAATTATGTCGTTCCCGATGGGGTAAGTCACACTTCTGTGAGACCCTAAACCGTCTACAAGTATAAGAGAAAGAAAGAGAGTCAACAGAGACTCAAGAAATAGAGTCAACAGAGACTCAAATATAAGAGTCATTATAGACTCGATAGAAAGAAAGAGAGTCAAGAGAGACTCGAGAAAGTAACAAAGAAACCTCCATAGAAAGTACTCTATTTTATATATGAGTGTATGATTATATTGCTGCACTAGATTGCATAAGAATATGAGTATATTGTTGCACGAGATTGCATAAGAATATGAGTATATTGTTGCACTAGATTGCATAAGAGTATGATTATATTGCTGCACTAGATTGCATAAGAGTATGATTATATTGTTGCACTAGATTGCATAAGAGTATGAATATGTTGTTGCACGAGATTGCATAAGAGCATGAGTATATTGTTGCACGAGATTGCATAAGAGCATGAGCATATTGTTGCACGAGATTGCATAAGAGCATGAGTATATTGTTGCACTAGATTGCATAAGAGTATGACTATATTGTTGCACTAGATTGCGTGAGAAACATGATCGTAATGTTACACATGATTGTATGCGAATAGAGTATCGTAAAAGATTGTTTAATGAGGAAACTAACTGGAGATATTCTCTTGAGCACGATTATTTTGATGTAGTAGAAGTTCTACTTAATAAGTTATGTGATAAGAGCGTGATCGCATGTGAACATCTGTTATATGATCTTTAAACATGATCCTATCTGTAAACATGAATTGCTTGATAAGCTATTTGAGAAGTCTACATGTTGATGAATATACGTGATTAGTCTTATACATATATAAGCATGTCAGTTGTTATTATAGGGTGCAAGCATCTAGAAAGAATACGATAATCTAAAGATGGTTTGAGATTAATTTATTGATATAATGATATCAAATGTTTTCCAAGTACATGCTAGAATGCTTTACAGGGTTGAGTGTGGTTATACTTAGCTTCGTGCTAACGAGTGTTTTCCTGTTTGTCTATGTGTTGCTTGCAAAACCCCTTTCAGGTGGGCCCAGTAGTGAGAGAAGATCGAGTTAGATTAGTCTCTTAGTTTGAGCTGTCTAAACTCTAGTTCTATTTATGATGTCTTTATGGATTTAGACTTATGACCCTATACTTTATGATGATGTTTGTAGACTGTTTTGGGGTGACGTATTTCCCCCTTACTTTTCAGTATTTACTTTAGTACCCAGACTTAATCGTATGTTATAGTTTTACCCCTTTTAGCTTGTGCAATCACCAAGAGTGGTGGTTGTG